ACCTTGCTTTAACATAGGGTTTATAGCCAGACAAAGAGAGAGTCTTAAAGATTTGGCTACTTATAACCTTTAGAGGTATCCTTGGACATTCTTCCACAATATTGTCAGATTAGTGAGGGATTATGTCTGATATCGTTTCCTCTAGTTCTCACTGATTTCATTCATAGGAAGCTAGAAAACAAAAATTAGAACAAAACACACACAGACAGGCCTTTGTGAATATATACACAGATAAATATTACATTATATAATCAATCAATTCTATTTCACAGCTCTAGGTAATCTTCTTTGTTAGGTTGTGACTGCACAAGAACATCTTCTGGAATCTATGGGAGAAATGAGACAGATATCCACACCCCTTCTAATGGAACTGATTTCATAGAAGCTGGAAAGATGGCAACTGGTTACTATTGGGTTTCTGATTAATAGTGCAAATGGATTTTCTCAGTTTGCTTCAACAACAGGCTGGGACTTTGGTCCCAAGAGGAGAGTCTTGTTTGTTAACTTGCATCCCTGCCAGTTATAGGACTGACTTTGCTGTCCACTGTAACACTGTACCATTTCTAAAAGCTCCCACCACATCAGTATTTACTCAAGTGCCGGAGGTACATTCCCCACTCTTAGGATTCTAGTTAGTTACCTGTGTCTGTTAACAGTGTTACTCTGTACTAGTCCTGACCACCTGTCAGATCTTGCCTCAGGCCCTATCAATGTAGTGGGCAACTCTTTTTGTAGGTAGCCTACTGTTAGTTAAAACAAGACCTACGGATTAGGGAAAGGGTTGGCATATTGTTGTGAATACATCAATAGTAGACACAGCAACCCTGAATATAAGGAGGTATCTACTACTGAACTGGCTTAAGTATTTATAGTATGGTAGCAAAGCACCTACTTGGAATTTCTACAAAGATGGACACAAGAAAGCCAACTTAGGAATACTAAAAATATTGTCTAATTATTCAAATTTCAGGTGCTGTTATGTATTATCAAAAAATTGGGGATCTATAAACTCAATGGACAAAATGAAGTTATAGAAAAGATTACTTATTGAACTCTCAGATGAGTAATTTAAAGAAGCATTAGAAAAATCCAATATATTTTAAAGAAAGAGGGAGCAACTCAAATTTCTAACACAGAAACATAGAAAAAGCACATAAATTGTATTTTAAATAAATTAAATCCAAGCTGACAATTTAGGCACTGAGATTTTAAATAACATTTACAAGGATTGATAGAAGAATAGATAAAACAAGAATAATAAATTACAGGGTGGATTTGTTAAAATATGTTTAAAGAAAAAACATCATAATTCTTTTTTTCTGGCTGAATGTCATGTCGTGTTGCAAAAAGAAAGAAGATAAAGTAGGCAACATGTAAACTTTATTTTCATGCTTTTTTGTGTGTTTGTTTGTTGCCAAAGTTAAAGTTTCATTTGGAATGGTAGGATCTTTTGACACAAATCAAGGCATATTTCATTTGGTCCTTGCAATGATAAATTTAATTCATTCAAGATGGCCAAAGTTGCCAATTGAGAAAATTATTTATGCAATTCACTGTTATTGCTTAAAAGTGCTTCAAACTGTGGTCTTGCTTTCTGTTGAAAAAAAAAAAAAACATTTTGAGTTCATCATGAAGTTTATAGATGCCCGCAACTAATGGAAGCAGATGCAGAAACCCACATCCAAATATTAGGCAGAGATTGGGGAATCTTGCAGAAGAGGACAAGGAAGGATCATAGGAGCCAGAGAGTTCAAGGATACAAGAAAATAGCCCACAGAATCAAATAACCATGACTCATAGGAGTTCCAAACACTGAAACACCAATCAGTGAGCCTGCAGGGGTCTAAGTTATCTGCATACATGTTATGGTAGTTAGCTTGGTGTTTATTGCAAACTTTTAAGTGCCTGCCTCAAAAGCTTTGAGCTTTAAACCTCAAAAAGGGTTTAAAAAGAGACTTTACAATAAGAATAGTATCTAAGTCTGAGGACTATAGAAAAGAATTTTCTCACACACATTCTTCCTACACATGTGTTCTTTGATGTTCCAAATTGTCTATGATTTCTTAGCTCTAATTCACTGTCTTAATTCTAATTCCAATTCTTATTCACTGTTTCATTTTTTTCTTCTTCTTAATTTTCCTACTTGCTTATTTTCATTTAATTCTTATCCTTTTACGTTTTAACTAATTTCTACCAGCTTCCTCCTCCTGCTTCTACCTCTCTCATCTCCTCTCTTCCAAAATCTGTCCCTAGAGGCTTGAAGCAAAAGATAATGGTTACAGAGTAAGAATTTTTTATTAGTCAGGAGCACATTCCTGGGCTAAGAGAAAAAGGCAGAGCCATTGCCATGGCAGCATAACATCCCAAAGCCATGGGAGCAAAACTGCGACCTGACAGGGAGGGCACAGTGCACAACAACTTTAAGACATAGATGTATTGTTAGTAGACTGGGGAGGAAGACTTGCCATGCTTTTCTTAGTAACCTTAGTTGGACATCTATGCCTCTGACTTTGTACATATCTTTAAGGTTTCAGACTTATGATCTATTTACAAAAGTCCTTTAGTCTGATTGAACTTGCTCTGAGGTAAAAGTGAGATAATTGTGTGCAGTTTTCTGAGAAGGAGATCAAAGTAGGCTGTTAAGAGCCCACAGTCTTTGTGGGACAAATAGATCCAATTATGAAGCATGGCCCAGGATATATTCTACATATCAAAATTACATAACTAAATGAGAAGTCACATCCCAGAACAGCCATAGATATGTGTCCTAAGGAAACAATTAACACACTGTGGTGGTGTGGGGAAAATCCCCAAGATGTAATATGAGGGAAAGAGCTCTTCACACCAGAAGTCTTCAATGGGGACAACTTAACACTTTCGGAAAGCAGTATTCCTTATTGCCTTGCTAAATAAGGTATCTCCATCATGTGTGCCTCTTTACTGACAATATTCCTCATAGCCTTGCTAAATGAGGTCTATTCTCCATGGGATATGCATCTCTGATGGGTTGACCCCTGAAGTATGTGTTGAACTCTCAAGCATAATTCTGTGGTTCAAAGCAGGTGTTCTTGTGGGACTCAAAACTATGGCAACAGGAGCTATATCTGACGTTTTTGCCTGTTTTGCAGACCTCTTTTCTCCTACTGGGTTGTCTTGCTCATCCATAATATGAATGTTTGTGACTAGCCTTAATGCAACTGGATATGCCATGTTTGGTCAATATATCTGGAAGCCCTGCCATTTTCTGAAGGGAAAAGAGGAAGAGTGGATCTGGGATAGAGAAGAAGTAGCTGGGAGTGTGACTGGGAGAAGATAAGGGAGGAAAAATTTCAGTCAGGATGTAATATATAAAAACAAAATAAAACAAGCAAATGAAACCAGTTTCCTCTCAATGACCATGTCACTTCAATGTGAAATAGCAGAGCATTGTTTAGTGCAGCCAGCACATTACATAGTTGCAAAACAGTGTCCTGTTTAGGAAGTCTAGGAAGCCGGTTCCTGCATTATCCATTACAATTATAGGTGCCTGAAGACACCAAGATGTAAATTACTTCAACAGGCGCTGGGTAATCTCCATTCCTTTGATCTCTGCCTATCCCGTGGCTCATTTGGCCTGAGGAGCTGAAGCCATTCATAGGGTAACACGTCCCAGGCGGCTGGCCAGCCTTTATAAGGGATGGTTTTCTTGGTTCAATGTCTCCGCTCTGGGAAGCTTATGCTCTTT